TTACACTCCTTGGCAAAATCCAAGTAGATCACATCCATTGCAACATCCTGATTTATACTTGCAATTTAGTTATCTTGGCATGACTTATGCTTAATAAAACCATGCTGATTCATGCTAATAACAATGTTCTTCCTAATTAATTCCTGAATAGTATTCCTTCTTAGCTTTTTAAATGCTTTTCTAGCCACAGAAGTTTACAGGTCTATAATTTCCACACAAAGTTATTGAACCCTTTTAGAATGAATGAACAACATTTGCCTTCCTCCAATCCTCCGATACAATTCCTGAAAGAAAAGAATCTCAAAAGGTTAAATACAGAGGTTCACTTATTTTCACACTAAGCTCCTTAAGTACTTGTGGGTGAATTATTTACATTAACTTTCTTTAGCTGCTGTAGCACCTTGTCATGAGTCATCTATTTACAATTTTCAGCAATTTTTAGCAGCACTCATTTGCATATTTCTTGCCATAATATATACTGAGGAAAAATTGTTATTTAAAATGTCTGCCTTTTCCTGGTCTTCATTAACTAACATGCCCATCATGGTTTTCAGTGTATCTACACTTTCATTTTTTGTTTTTGTAGAATTTCTGTACTTAAAAATCTTTGGGGGGTTTGATTTTGCTTTCTTAGGCTATCAATCTCTCATTTTCTAGTTTAGCTACTCTAATTGCCCTTTTTGCATGCATTATTGGATTCCTTATCCCTTATATATGATGCTTCTGATTTGACTAATTTAAATGTTTTAAATTCACCTTTTCTTATTTTTAATCTCTTGGTTTGCTTTCCCACTAAGCCACATTGGTTTCAATTTGTTTATTTTCTATTTATTACCCAATTGTACATACTGAGAAATGTACCTTTCTAATATTTGTTTAACAATATTCTGTTTATCCCCAGTGTTTTTTCCTTAAAGAGTTTATACCAGTCAATATATTGTAAATATGTCCTTAACTTATTTAAAAAAAACCTTTTTAACCCCTTACGGACCAAACTTCTGGAATAAAAGGGAATCATGACATGTCACACATGTCATGTGTCCTTAAGGGGTTAAAATTTTATTTTTTTGTTTACCCTATGTGCTTTTGCTTATTTGAGTTTATTTCAAGAGACACCATATTGTGACTATTAACATATGAAATTCTAGGCGCTGAATAGACAAAACAGTGGTGGCATGTAAGTATATCTCATCTACCACAGACATGTCACCTTGGGGGGAAGGAGTGTCTTTACAAAATCCGTAAAACTAAATGAACCTCTTTAAATATTTGTTTCTTGTTTAATCCTACAGATTACAATTGTGTTATTATGTTTCTCAACAGTTATTCTTTGCATTTCCCTTTAAACAGGATTCTAGGTCATACTTTACGTCACAGGCATCACTTCCGCTGGGTTTCAAGCACATAGTTTTACTCAGTTCAGCTCGGAGTAAAATCACATTCTCCTTGTCAGCTAAGATCGTTACTGCAGATCATGTTTTTGTTCTTTTGTTTCTCAACTCTTTTTCTATGTAAGTTTTCTCTATTTCCCATGTTTTCCTTAGGTTATGCATGTCCTAATTATAATAAGCAAAATTAATTTGTTGAGGCAATTAGTAAAACAGTTATATTTACAAAACATATTTTTCAATAGCTTCACAGTTTCAACCGATAATACCTTTTAATTTTTTGTTTGCTACTAAATTTTTTTGTTTAGATGCAGAAAGTAACTCACAGGTGCAGCAGCCGGCAGAAGTAACATCTCTGGAAGGACAGAATACAGCAATCTCATGTAACCATAGCATCTCCGGCTACGACAGACTGTGCTGGTACAAAGAACAAGATGTTAAGGGACTGGAGCTAATCATATCTGGCTATAGAACTACCGAACATAATGGACCATTCAGTTTGGTGTTCAGTACAGATAAGCTCTCTGCAACACTTCACATCAAGGATGTACAGATTGCCCAAACTGGGACGTATCATTGTGCTGTGACAGACACAGTGACTAGAGGCAACAGCATATATGTCAAAAAACCTACCACACATATCCTGGTTCTAATGCAGAACTGTTAAAAAAAACAAAACATCAATATGTCTACAAAGAATATATCATATATATCCAGATTTTCGTGAATTCAGTATAAATTTCTGTACCTCTTAGAGAACATTTACACCCCAATCACTTTGACTTATAATGTTCAAGCACTATCCTACTACACTATCAAAAAATAATATATATATATATTAAGGGTAGGGCTTGAACATTATAAGTCAAAGTGACTTATTGCACAAGACCCTTGAGCGCTCTCGTATTTTGCTACCATATTAACCCTCTGATACATTCCCTGCTACTGTCTAAAAGAAGCTGTCTGCACCCATCATTGGTGCAAACAAGCATACTGTCCACCGGAACACTAGGGATAAGAAATTACCCTCCAGCCAAAGGTAAGTCTCAGGGAGGTGGAATAAATGTTAGTTATTTTTTTATTTAAAAAATATTTCTATCTCCCAACTACAGCCCTAACCCACCCTCTATCCTCCAATTCGCTTCTACTCACTAATATTTCTATTACACTATCCACCAACAAAAACCCCTTTTACCACCTACATCCACTGAAGCCCCTGTTAGACCCTGCAGCTACTAAAGCCCCTATCAACCCCTGTACCCACTACAGCCCCTGTCCCCCTACACCCACAACAACCTCTTTTACCTTCTGCACCTACTAAAGCCCATTTTACCCCATGTTCCCACTATGGCCCCTATTCCCCCTGCATGCACTAATGCCCCTATTATCACCCTGAACACAATAAAGCTCCTTTTACCTTCTACACCCACTAGAGCCCCTATTTCCCCCTATAGCTCAAATCTTTCCTGCCCCCATTAAAGCCTCCTACCCTCCCCAGCACCAACTACAGACGATATCTTTCCCTTGCACTCACTACTATCCCTATATCTATTTCACCAACTAAAGTTCATATTACCCCCTGCACCCACTGTAACCTCTATCCCCCTGCACCAGCTACAGACTCTATGCTCCTGCACCCACCACAGCCTCTATCTGCCCTTCAACCGCTACTAATATGATTTAGTGGTGGACATTTATAGTGCCACACCAGTTTTGACTGTGGTATCTTTGTGCCCCTACCCCCTATGTTTTGTTCCCAGAGTTGTCACTATTCTGGAGTATTTGACTTCTGGCTCATTATTCTTGTCAAGCACACTGCATATGATCTCATAATAAGATATGCATACCGGGTCAATCTTTGGGTTCTCTAGATGCGAGGTCCACTCCAGCTAGGCATCTACAGGGCCTACTTCTTTTCCTCAGAGTATATATCCTCTTGCTTTGTGCCCATTAAGGGGGAAAGTTCAATTGCCTTTTTCTCTGTCTCTTGGGATCTTGGCTCAGACCCTTCTTTAGCTCTCTCTGTTACAATGACTCCTCGTCTTCCTCCCCCACCCTGCCTAGTTTTAGGCTGCCCCAATCTCCCTGCTCTTCAAAAACATGTCTTGGGGGAGCCACAACCTCCTCCTTTTCCAAATACCCCAACAAAGCCCCTTCCACTTTCTTCTAGTTTTCTCTTGACTTTATTCTTTCCTAACCCAACTTCTTCCTACCGTAACCCCTCCTTTCTACCTCCTCCAATCCCTTATCTATCTCACCTTTCTCCCACTTCTCCCTCCAATCCTACCACAACTCCCTCCTCACTTCCTTTCTTTTAGTTTTATCCCCCAACTCCTCCCTTCTATCCGAAGTTCTTAAATTCCAGGAAATATCACAGTTAACACTAGAGAGCACTGTGGTCATGGGGCACAAGGACAAGCACAATCCCATACAGAAATGGACTAGCAAATACCCTGCATAATTCCTGTCTGTTTTCTCACTCCTTCTGTATACTGATGCCTCCAGTTACTTTTAATAAGAAGATTAGTGCTGCAAGGCTGCAGTCTGAAACCCCAACATGATAGATGGGGTCTGATTGGGCAATTGCATGACACCATTATTTGGGCAAAGATCTAAAAGTGGCACAATCAAAATGAAAACCAAAGACATAACCATGCTAATCCTTCAGCACTGAGAACTTTAAACTGGAAATGTTTTTTATAAGACATCCAATGTGCTCAAACAATCTTTTTTTTTTTTTTTTGCTTGTAGAGTTTTCTGTTACTTCTGTATTGTAACAGGATCACTATCAAACACATGATGGCGCAAGAATACCAGTAAATACCAAAAAGGCAGCTTCAAAGGCAGCTTGCATAAAATAAGCTAGTAAAATAAATAAATAATTGTTATTAGTAATTTGGGATGCATAAAATGAATAGGCAGGTCGGAGGATATTACATCCTAATTATCCATCCAAGCTATAAGACCTGCACTTTACAATTTCCCAACTTCCTTTCCTTGTTTTCTTTTATTTATTTACTATATATAATAGTTATAGCTGTGGTTTCAATGAGTATACCAATTCTGGTCATTATTGAAGTATTGTTGAGGTTACTCACCTTTTCAAACAGTATCCAGTCTTGCGTCTCTTAGTTGTTCTCAGTAAACACAAGCAATCATGGAAAACTGAGTCTGTTTGGAAATAGTATACAATTGGAAAACACTGTTTATAGCTTGCAAATTAAATGACAAAATGCAATGATATACTCAGTGCTGTTTATTGGATTCATCTGCAGGTATGGGATCAATTAATTATGGCATACACTAATCAAAATTCAGTGATGATCTAAAGAAGTTTTTTTCTCTCATTAGTGCAAAAAATGGTAAGTGGCTCTAACCATTCAAAATAATTGTATTTGTGCTTTTTTGGCTATTTAAACAAATATCTTCCCATTACACTTTTAGCCATGTATGAGTAAACCCAATTTCCTATCTACAAACTTAGTTTAACACATGTTCCTTAATCATATTTCTTTGAAACTGTTTTGTTTCCTTCTCAGGAAGTGACATCAGTCTACAGTGTAGCATATAAAACAACCTGAGAGACAGACACCGTTTTTATACCAGTAAAGAGTAGACATAGATATCATGGAATGTATTATCTTGGTAATGTCATCATGTGTTTTTATAATCGGTATGTAATTTAATTTCTTACAGGTCAATACAATTTATTATAAAAGCTGATGACTTACAATGTAATGGGTACTATGCAATAATAGTCTTAACATGGTTTATTATATTTTCCAGGTTCCATCTGCTACCTCATAACTTTTTCATTTTTATTATATTTATTATATTTTAGGTTCTACCAACGGACAGTCAGTAAACCAGACATCTTTAACTCAATCTGTCTTGGTGGGAGAGCCGGTCTATTTGGAATGTACCTACAAAATATCGGGTACACCTTATACTTTCTGGTATTATCAATCTTCTGCAAAAGCCCTATCAATGATAGTCAATGACTTAACACAAAAAGACTACAAGGGATTTTCAGCTACCCATGATAGGAGCAAATTTACCTTCCACTTGAGAAAGGATCATGTTGCAATTGATGACTCTGGGCTGTATTTCTGTGCAGTTAGTGACACAGTAATCACAGTACTTATGTCTTCTGTCACATAACTTTGCACATGTGTCTTTCTTTTCATCATGAACTTTCTTGCTAAAAACGTTTGGTTTTTTTACTCACATTATTGTTGCACTATATAAAATAGGGAACTTTAGATAGTGGATAGTGCTTTCATGCTGCTCTACCGGCATTGCAAGTTATATGCATATGTAAGAAGAATGAAAGTCACATTTATAACATAAAACTTTTTCCCTTATTCAAGAAAGTCAAACTTTTTCTTAGGGGTAGAGAAAATATGATCAATCAATGAAATGAGGCATCATCTCAAGCCTCTGCTTCCACTTTCATTATGGTCAGTTTTTTAACTGAATGATGTTTCTAAAGTATTATATATATGTGTATTATATGTTCATACATGTAATCATGTGATTGATTTTAGACAAAACTATTTTTAGACAAATTATGCTCATTTAAGTTCACTTGTAAATTCAAAATAAGTTTAGGACCCAAATAAACATAAAAGGAGACAATTAACACATGACAAGGTAGTCAGGGCAGACTCGATGATATCCATTAAACAAAGATTTCTATCAAAACCTGTTTATAGTACCTATCCATCTCTCAGTTGCAATCATTGCAGTGAAGTAATTAACGGGAAATTCTGTAGTCATCCCAGAACTGGACAACAGATCAAACTACTGGGTTTTTACACATTGCAGACAGATTATGTCATTTATCTCCTGAAGTGTCTATGAGGATTAGGATTTGTGGGCAAGACCATACACTCACTTAAAGGACCACCAGAGTGCCAGGAAAACAAACTTGTTTTCCTGGCTCTATAGGGTCTTTGGGTCGCCCCCACCCTCAGGGTCCCCCTTCTGCTGGGCTCTATGGGGAGGAAGGGGTTAAATGCTTACCTTTCTCCAGCACCGGGCTCCCTTGGCGCTGGGGAACTCTCCTCCCTCTTCCGACGTCATTCGATGAATGTGCATGCGTGGCAAGAGGCGCGCGTGCATTCAATCAGTCCATAGGAAAGCATTTCTTAATGCTTTTCTATGGACGTCAGTGTCTCCTCACTGTGATTTTCACAGTGAGAAGTGAGGAAGCACCTCTAGCTGCTGTCAATGAGACAGCCACTAGAGGCTGGATTAACCCTATTGTAAACATAGCAGTTTGTCTAGATGGACCTGGCACCCAGACCACTTCATTGAGCTGAAGTGGTCTGGGTACCTATAGTGGTCCTTTAAAGATCAGGTGTTGCAACATAAAACAGCTATACATAGTACCAACTCAGAGGCACCAGTCGCACGATACTTCAGAGAGAAAAGACACAATTTATCACAATTGCACTACCAGGTTTTGGAAAGAGTAGCACCACTTCCTCCTGGGGGTAATAGGGAAAGAATCCTGTTGCAGAAAGAGGTTTGCTAAATGTACCTCTTGGATACGGTGTCACCTCATGGTCTTAATGAAAAGCTTGAGTGGCACTGGTTCCTCTAGGTACTCCAGCAAACACCCGCTGGAAGGCTGGAGTGTCCTGGAGTGGTGTATGTATAAAGTATAAAATATAAAATATAAAATACAATCTCTTCCTATGATTTATGCCTTATTCTAGTGACTAATACCTTTCTATGTTTTTTGTTTTATTTCTTAAAAGGATAGTAATAGTCCTGCACATTGCTACTCTAAGCTACATGCACAGGATTAGTCACCCTAGTAACTAACTGGTAATGAGTTGTTCTTTTCTTTATTACATAGCTAGTATATATGGGTATAATATTATACTGTTATGGCTCTCCCGGCATAACAGGGTTAAACTGCCATTTAGTAGAGTTTCCCCTTTTGTGGAGATATAGGTACAGCTACTGTTGAACCCCAACTCCCGAACTGTAACCAGGGAATGCTCCAAACTCCCAAACAGTATACCCAGTAGTACTCCAAACTCCCGAACGGTAATCTCACGAATAGCTGCTAACAGACGAATACACACAGCATCCAAGCGGCTTACATTCCCAGCAATCAGTCTCTAACCGCGTACAGTAAATCCCCTCAATCACGAGACCAAGCTCCGTATTGAGGGTAAAACAGGATTCTGGTTTATTGAGGGCTACCTGCCCGGTATTTATGCAGGTCTCCCATCTGGTGGACACTTCCCTAGGGAGACTGTAACACAGACAGACATGTATCACATTCAGACACACAGAAGTAAAACATCCCCACACTGCATCCTAATTTCCCTCCTTCTATCCTGGAGATAATTGGGAAGTAATCCAATTATCTCCCAGGACAGAGGCAAATCGCCATTATACATGTGGGGACACAGAGACAGAAAAATACATTAAAACATATATTACATTTACTACACCAACCCCATACATGTCACATATCCCCAGATAGCTTAGATCTGAGCGCACATAACCACCGAATAGCTCTCAGATCAAACACATACAGTTCAATTGCGTTGGAGCCAAAGTGTTTAACTACATGAATAGGCTCCATGACATAACTATATGGGTTAAAAAAATTCACTTAAGTAAAGTCCTGATCAATCCAGCGTTCGTTTAAACAACCGAAATAGAAGCAGGGAAGGCTGGAGGCTCAGCGGTTCCTGCACGTAAAAGTATCCGCTTTTAGTGCACTGATTCTGGGCTGAGCACTGCTGGCCGTCCGGGGAGCTCCATAACACCGCCAACGGGTGGCAGCTATGTGTAACCGCGACCACCCAGTACGGTCAATTAAGCTGCGGTTAACCGCAGCTACTGGGTGGTCAATTGATGGCACACGCTAGCTTCCCGGTGGTCGTGCCTTTGTGTGGCTTTCGGTAGTTTAACAGGGGAACACATAGGGACTGTACAGGCAGGGAAATAAACCGAACAAACAGACGAATGGAGGGAAAATAAATGTAATCCATATACAGACAGTTCTGTTACAATATACTATACTTTTGCAGCTTTTTTCTTCACACACTGGGTATTATATTCACTTTTACCTTTATCTTTTCATTCAAATTCGATTATATGGCTTCCTGTGTTGTAATTTTATGCTTATGACCTGTTTTTGATATATTCCATATTTGAGGTATATCTCGTTAAATGCTGTTTATATGTAGCTTTATTGTGATCTGTATAATGAATGTCTGTATTGTATATACATTTCCTAGAAACTGTGCGTCATGACGTCATACACAGCTTGCATGCGTGAAGTCCGACGTCATGACGTCACGCCCTCACTTGCTAGAAACCGGAAGAGAGCTCCACGATGGTGGAGGGGAGCCAAATAATGAGAAACAGCTGCACTTGATCTGCGGGGGCAGCACCAGGTTTCTTAATTTATTGCACATTGTATATAAACTGATGAGTGGTACTGCATGTTTAAGGACATTTGCATTGAAAAAGGGCTTGTGCCCGAAACGTTTGCCTGACTTTTATGTCCTTCAAATAAATGCTTGGTAGCACATTGGTGCACATTAAAACTGGAAGAGCAGACCTAATTGTTTTGTATGTTTATTTGGTTTACACTGCTGGAACTTCAATGGGAGTACCTGCAGCTCAGGAGAAACGGTTTGTATTTTTAATTCTTTTGGTATTGCAATCACCTGTGCCTCTACTCCTTTTCTCTGTAATTTTAGTGCCCCTTGGTTTCTCATTTGCACATGTGTCAGTTACCCTGCACTTTATTTAGATTCACAATTATCGAGCAGTTAAAATCAGTGCTTGATCTTCCATCATACAGTGTTCTTATCAGTTAAATGTGTCCTGTTATGATGTGTGTAAAAGTTTTGCATCACATTCTAAAACATTGATGACAGATAAATAAATGTTGTTTTACATACAGTTGCAAGAAAAAGTATGTGAACCCTTTAAATGATATGAATTTCATAAAATGTGATCTGATCATCATCTAAGTCACAACAATAGACAATCACAGTCTGCTTAAACTAATAACACACAAAGAATGAAATGTTGCCATGGTTTTATTGAACACATCATGTAAACATTCACAGTGCAGGTGGAAAAAGTATGTGAACCCCTAGATTAATGACATCTCCAAGAGCTAATTGGAGTGAGATGTGAGCCAACTGGAGTCCAATCAATGAGATGAGATTGGAGGTGTTGGTTACAGCTGCCCTCCCCTATAAAAAACACACAACAGGTCTGGGTTTGCTTTTTACAAGAAAGATTGCCTGATGTGAATGATGCCTCGCACAAAAGAGCTCTCAAAAGACCTACGATTAAGAAGTGTTGACTTGCATTAAGTTGGAAAGGGTTATAAAAGTATCTCCAAAAGCCTTGCTGTTCATCAGTCCACGGTAAGACAAATTGTCTATAAATGGAGAAAGTTCAGCACTGCTGCTACTCTCCCTAGGAGTGGCCGTCCTGTAAAGATGACTGCAAGAGCACAGCGCAGACTACTCAATGAAGTGAAGAAGAATCCTAGAGTGTCTAAAGACTTACAAAAGTCACTAGCAAATGCTAACATCCCTGTTAGCGAATCTACAATATGTAAAACACTAAACAAGAATGGATTTCATGGGAGGATATCATGGGAGGATACCACAACTCAAAGTTGAGTTGTTTGGAAGAAACACACAGCACTATGTGTGGCGAAAAAAAAGGCACTGCACACCAACATCAAAATCTCATCCAAACTGTGAAGTATGGTGGTGGGGGCATCATGGTTTGGGGCTGCTTTGCTGTGTCAGGGCCTGGATGGATTGCTATCATCAAAGAAAAAATGAATTCCCAAGTTTATCAAGACATTTTGCAGGAGAACTTAAGGACATCTGTCTACCAGCTGAAGCTCAACAGAAGATGGGTGTTGCAACAGGACAATGACTCAAAGCATAGAAGTAAATCAACAACAGAATGGCTTAAACAGAAGAAAATACGCCTTCTGAAGTGACCCAGTCAGAGTCCTGACCTCAACCCAACTGAGATGCTGTGGCATGACCTCAAGAAAGCGATTCACACCAGACATCCCAAGAATATTGCTGAACTGCACAATTCTGGAAAGAGG